AGACTAGAGGATTGATGGTGCATATGCGGAGTGGAAACTATCTCAAACTTTCTGAGGTATAACCAATTGTTTATGGTGCTAGGGTAGACGTTGGGGATAAGTGAGATGAGAAACCTGCATATACAGGTAACTTCCATTACTTTGCATCTGTGCGAATGCTCTTCTCCATGACTCCACAGCTTCTGTGTTGAGAGCTAAATGGATAGCTAAATTTTAATCACTGTTGATTAAAATTTGAAGAACAGTTTGGTAAGAAGTTCAGTTTTGGTCCTGCTAATTTTGAGATGCTTGGGGAAATGCTTGGTTTGTCTCATGGGTAGTTAAGAGTTTAGAGGCTCTAGGGACAGGTCTGACCTAGAGATAACATTTTAGTAATAATTAGAATATATGTAACTTGAGGCACAGGACCTGGACTCAGACAGACCTATATTTAAATCTTGGCTCAGACACTGTTTCTCTTTATGTAAAATGGGATAATATCTAACCCAGGATCTTTGTAAAAAAAAGGTTTCAGTGAAAAACTAGAAGGCACTTAGCACAGAGTTAAAAAAATGACAAAATTATCATTAGCTGTTATTAGATTATAATACTTATAAACAAACTGCATTATAGCAAAAAGCATTTTTAAAAAAATGAAATTCACTTACATGCTAGCTGAAATACATTTAAATGAAAGATTTGTCAAGGATGGTTTGGTGCCCTCATGGCAGCATGGTGTATGCATTGTGTCATCTGGCCAGCAAGACCTATGTGTGCCTTAGCACCAGGAATGAAAGATACAAGTCCATGTCAGGGGTTTCCTCGTAGGCAACTTATCTCCAGGGCAGCAACTCAGGTACAACCTACTCCTTTCTCTCCTTAAAATAAACACCTTAGGGTAAGCATTATCTTTTTTTTCATATTATGTTACTTCCACAAACCTTAAGTGTTAAATTCTACATAGTTGATAATACATCAACAGTTTAATATTTGTCCCTCTAAATAAATTTTTCCATGACTCTTTCTAAACTCTCAGTCTCTATTTTGGCCCATAATTTGATTTTGTACATAATTATGAATTTAAAATGTCACATCATTATCAAAGTTAGCAAAATTTGGACCAGAGTAAAGGTTCTATAGGAACCATAATTACTTCTACTTCGTGTTAGGTTTTTATACTGTGTTTTAGTGGGAGATCTGTTTAGAAAAGCAACAAAATGATGAGAAAAAGAAATCCACTTAGAAAAGTTAAGGAATCCTCAAAATTTATCTACACAAAGCCACCAATTTGGCCCAATTAGTCAAAGAATAGGTTTGATTAGTGGCTCGTTTTGCTGTTTTTAAAGGAATCATACAGCATTAAAAAAAATTTCAGCAGCTTTAGTATCATTTTTGAAATATCTATTGTGAAAGATCATCAAAATAATTCTTCCCATTCCTATTATGCATGTCCCTTTGAAACAGGACTTTGTTCTTCTCATCCGGGAGGGGAATCTGTTTTCCTAATTCCTGAATCTGTGCTGGCCTTTTGACCTACTTTGACTAACAATGTATGTGGTAGAAGTGATGTCATGTAACTTGTGCTTCAAGAGGTCTTACAGCTTCCTGTTTGTACCTGTCTGGCATGCTGCCTAGATATGAAGCCCAGGCTAATCCTGAGGAAGAAAGGCTAGGAGATAGAACTAGCCAATAGTCAACACTAACAACCAGTCATGAAGATGCCCAGTTAAGATGCCAAATAACTATATGCATGATTGCAGACAAGGCCAGTCTAAATCACTGATCTATAGAATTGAGAGTACATAAAATGGTTTTAAAGCATCAGGTGGTCTCTTATGCAGTAGTAATGTGTACAGGTGTGTGTATATTTATGGTCAAATTTTCCTGCCTTGAAGATGAGAGAATAATTTTAAACCATTGGTTTTAGGTCAGTCATTAGGACATAATTCCAGATTTAAGGATCAAAAAGTTCCTTAAAGCTGTAATAATGTGTCACCTAGGTTGCAGCAGTGAACAATGAAGAGAAGACATCATTTTTCTGGGGTGATTTGTGCATGGTGTTTTTAGGAGTAGGATGGTAATTCCAGATGATGTCCAAAGTCTAAGCTCTGGTGTCCTGTCAAATTTCAATTAAACTCTTAAGATTTAGCAACTCCATTTCCACTTCATAAACTTGTACATAGCTTTTTAATACCTTTCACAAGTGACAGGATCTTTCTTTCACATATAGTGTGATCCAAAATTGCTATGGTATAATGTAGGTGACATAGTTTAGGCAGTATAGAATAATGTCCTGAGTTTCAGAGCTGTACTGCGTGGTTTCAAATGCTGGCTCAGTTGCCTATCAGCTGTATCAGGTAATCTTGAGTTATCTAACCTATTTTTGCCTTCGTTTCTCTACCTGTAGAATGAAAGAATTGAATTGCTGATAGGATTAAATGAGTTATTCTTGAGCTTAACACATATTACTCAATCCATGTAACAATACTAGTATTGTTATATAAAGGATTGATCTAGGTATCTGACCCAGTTGTTACTTCGTGACCTTCAGCAAATCAACTAACCTCCCTGGGTTTCAGTTTTTTTTTTTTCATTTATAAAGTAACATTAATTTCCATGTTTTTTTTATCTTTAAAATTTTATGATTTAGTATTCAGTATGTTTTACCCACAAAGACATTCCAATCTTGTCTATAATTCTATTTTCTTAAAAATTGTTTAAAATATTTTCCATTAGCAAGCAATTGCTAGTACCTCTAGTATCAGCCACTCTGAAATATAAAGACTGCTGCATTTACTCAGGAAGCGAACTATTTATTCCTCCTATGTAGCCAGCAAACAATTATAATTCACATATCTGAAGCAATGCCTTTTCAGGTCTATGGAAACTTAGAATTGCACATTCATTTTTAAACCCGTGCTAAATGTGCTTATAAAAGTAGGAAAGGGTCCTCTGAAAATGGAAGAAAATATTTCACCTCAAACTTTTACCAAACATCTCCAATGTTAAATAAAAATTACCTGTTCCACTGTTAAGGTGACACATTCAAATTCTTTCGATATGCTCTAGCATACTGCATACAATATTACACAATTTTTATTGGCTGCATGATAAACACCATAATGTGCACATATCATAGTTCTTTTACCTTAATATAAGTTGTGGCATTAAATTAAATTAATTAATTTATTGTGGCACTGCATCTTAGTTTGATGTTGTGTGATGCCTCTTGACAATGGGACAGAAAAATAAGGATCCAACATACCAGTACATGACTGGTGTGTAGAACGTTCAGTACCTGGAATTCCCTTTAAAAAGTGGGTCACTTGGATCACTCTTCCTTTTCCTGTTATCCCTATAATCAAGCTGCTACAACCCATATGCAGATGCTCCGTTCAGTATTTTTTTGATCAATTATCAGTTTATTAATTACAGGACCTACCACAAACTTCCCTATGAATTTTTATTATTTTTAAATTTTTATTTATTTATGATAGTCACACACACACACAGAGAGGCGGAGGCACAGGCAGAGGGAGAAGCAGGCTCCATGCACCAGGAGCCCGACGTGGGATTCGATCCCGGGGCTCCAGGATCACGGCCCGGGCCAAAGGCAGGCGCAAAAACGGTGCGCCACCCAGGGATCCCCCCTATGAATTTTTTAAAATTTTTTTTATTTACTTATGATAGTCACAGAGAGAGAGAGAGGCAGAGACACAGGCAGAGGGAGAAGCAGGCTCCATGCACCGGGAGCCCGACGTGGGATTCGATCCCGGGGCTCCAGGATCGCGCCCTGGGCCAAAGGCAGGCGCTAAACCACTGCGCCACCCAGGGATCCCCCCTATGAATTTTTTAATTTTTTTAAATTTACTTATGATAGTCACAGAGAGAGATAGAGAGAGAGAGAGAGAGAGAGAGAGAGAGAGAGAGGCAGAGACATAGGCAGAGGGAGAAGCACGCTCCATGCACCGGGAGCCCGACATGGGGTTCCATCCCGGGTCTCCAGGATCGCGCCCCGGGCCAAAGGCAGGCGCCAAACCGCGGCGCCACCCAGGGATCCCCCCTATGAATTTTTAAAACAGATTTCAGCCACTCGTTTGCTCCTCCAAAATACACACCAAGCTACTAGTAAACTGCTCTTTCAGGACCCGGCAAACTTGACAGTTCAAGCTACACAACTGAGGAGGTTTCCAGTGGATCTTACAGCCCGAGAAGAGAAAACTGAGCGGATCGGCTTTCTCTCCCCTAACATTTCCTGACGGTGGACACGTCTTTGCTTGTAGAACAAGAATTCCGTTCTGGGAGTTGCGGCGGCTCTCCTGCCCCAAGAGGCGGCCCCACGGGTTTGCGGAATTTGACAGACGGCCGCGATCTTCGGGGGATTTTCCAAGCGGGACGCGGGCGCCGAAGAGGAGGGAAAGTCCGGGCCACGTGACCCACCTCCTTCGCCTCCGCCTCCAGTTCCAGAAGGCGAGCTCCGCAGCAATCAATCCCGATCCTCCACCACCAGATAGTTTTCTCCCAAGAACTTGCTGAAAACCCCAAAGTGCTGAGAGGCACACTTCGAAAATTGTTGGGTCAAAACAGCCACGAAACCTCCCCAATCGACTTTTACCCTAAGTGTGCCGACCACCGATTCGGAATCACCACTACTTACGGCTCACCCGGTCGTCAAGCCTTTTCCAACCCTCCCAGTTTCGGTTCCAATGGAAGGAGAAAGCAACAGTTTGGTTGCCGATGAGCCCGTCTCCCGGGCAAGAACAGTCGAGGGCTTCGGCGCCCCGTCGGCCCGCGGGAGGACGCGCGAACGAGCGGCCGGCCCGAGAGACCCCGCCCGAGGCTCCCTCCCTCCCCCGGCCCGGCCGCCGCGCGTCGCCGCGCCGCGCCGCGCCGCGCCGCGCCTCGCCTCGCCGCGCCTCGCCACAGGCCCGGGTGCCCGGGCGGGCGCATGCGCGCGGCGCTCCCGGGCGTGCCGGCCACACTCCCCCCCACCCACTCCGAGAGCTTGTCACTTCCTGCCCTCGCCCCATCTCCGTCCGGGGTCAGTCAGTCGCTCCCTGTCGCTGCGGGAGAGTCTCTGCTTCCCCTTCCTACCCGCTCCGCGGCGGTAGCTCAGGCTCTTCGGGGAGGGGGAGACAGAGAAAGAGAGAGACTGACTTAATAAAGTTTCCTGAAACGACAACTACTACCAAAAAAGGCCCAAGGTGGGGGGGAAGCCCCATTCTTCCCCGCCCCTCTCCAAAAGCCTGAGGGACCGTTGCAGGTGGAGCGGCGCTGGGGGAGCCGGGCTCCGGCGGCAGCCGTTGCCCCGGCGAGGGGCGCCCAGGTCTTGCCGGCTCCGGTTCCAGCTCCTTCGGTGGCGGCGGCGGCTTCTGCGGGGCGGTTCCTCCTGTCAACTGCCTGCGCCCGCGCGCCGCCCGCCCGCCCAGCTCCACAGCGCGGAGGGACGCCGTGAGCCGCCGCCGCCGTCGCCGTCGCCTCGGGCCGCGGAGGGACGTGGTGAGCTGTGGCGCTTCCGCGTCAGCGCCGGCGGGGACTCTTTGGGAGCGCGTCGGGCTCGAACCCCGCTCCCCTTCGCGTGGTCCGCCGAGGCTGCGCCAGGTGGGGCCCGAAGCCGCCTCCCACGCCAGGCTGTGCCCGCGGCTGCCCGGCCTGCCTGCCTGCCCGCCTGCCTGCCTTCCTTCCGCCTACCCGCCGGCCCGCCCTAGGAGTTAGGTAAGTTGGGCGCACTTGGTTATGGGGACGGGGGTCCGCCGGGGAGACCCCAACGCACGTGCGTGGCGGGAGGGCACGGCGTGGGTCGGCCGCCGGCGGGAGCCGCACCTCTACCGCCCCTGTCGCCACGCCCGCCGCCCCGCGGGCCCCGGCGCCGGCCGTGCCCGCCGCGCTCCGCGCCTCCGTCTCCGCGCGCGCCCGCCGGGGCCGGCGAGGCCGCTGCCGCCCGCGCAGCCGGCCAGGCCCTCGCCTTGCGCTGCGCGCCGCAGGCTGCGTTTCCGGGTAGGGCGGTGAACCTGTGCGGGAGTCTGGGCTGGGGAAGCCTTCGTGCGTTTTCCTGTTTTCAGTTCTAGAGGAAGGTACGGGTCCGCGGAGGGAAAACGGCGGGCGGGTGGAGAGAACGTATCTGGAAAACCTAGCCAGAACCCCCCCAGGAAGTTCAGGGTGAGTGACGGATTTGTACTTCTTTCAACAGCCAAGCCGCAATGAAGAGCTTCTTACAGTGAAAGGAAAGTAGGTCTCGCCCACTGAAAATGCCTTTAAGGGATAAATACTGCCAGACTGACCACCATCATCACGGATGCTGTGAACCAGGTATGTGTATGTGCTCCTTTCTTCTCCACTTACTTTGCCCTCCCGTCAAAGCCACTCTGCTTTGTGTTTCCTTCCAGTTTTATTTTTCTCCTGCCCAAGAAGTCGTTTCTAAGTAAGCAGGCTATAATTTTCCCCAGCATAAAACTAGTTATGAAGCTAAAAGCTTGTACAAACAAGAGGTCTCCCCTTCTTGATCCCTTAAAAGAAGTCCTGCAAGTGTCACCTTAAATCTTTTCCACAAGACCAATCACTCAGTCCCTTTTCCTTCTTTCCGGGCAGCCTGCAGTTAGCAGTATACCCTCATGTCCTTTGAATATTTAAAACTGAAGACAGAAGAGGAAATAGGTGGTAGAAAACATGAAAGAAAGCATGTCTTCGTGAAAGTGGATTCATTTAAACTTTTAAGAGTTAAAAGTTTCTTAGGCATTTTTATCAGGGAATAGAGGTTAAAGCCTAAAAAAGAGTTTAGTTTGGGCTAAAAAAAAGTTTGTTAAACTCAGCTTGTCAGAAGAATGGGTCTTGCTAACCGAAGCCTTTAAAAATGTTCTTGGACGGTACATACTGTATTAATATAGCAAAATAAAAAATCTGGTTTTTACGCAGAATACATAAGTATTTTTAGGAGAGTTTATTCAGTGGAACTGTTTTCAGTTGGATTTATGAATGGAAAAGTTTTCTCGAGTCTCAAGAATATTAGGAAACTTTAATTTGATAAATGCGATATCAAATTTGATAAATTAGATAAACTAATGAGTTTTTCTAGTTATCAGAAGTTTGATGTGTTGAGTCACAAGCATTTAGAGGTAAAACTTAAAAAGGGAATCATCCAATTCATATGTAGCCACGCAAAGGCTATTCCATTTTAGGTTAAAGGCAGGTGTTTATTTTTATTTTTGACCTAAAAGTTGTTAGGACTCTTTATGACTTTGCTTTTTTTGTTGTTGTTGTTGGAGTATTTTAACTGCTTTAATGTACTTAGTTCTGTCACAGTAGAGTTCAACTAGAGAACTTTTCTGACTAATGGGAAAAAATGGCAGTGGTAAAGAGGAAGAACTCCCATTTTCAGAAAACTTTGGTACTCATGAGAATAAAATTTGTACTATGGCCTTATCCCCCCACTGATTTATTGGAAGTCAGTAATAACTTATCTCTGCTAATAAAATAGTCCCAGGATGGGATCCAGTTTCTGTTCGACTGCTCCTGACCTATCTAATTTTCAGCACCCCTTCATACTGCATATTTTTGTGTATTTTGTGTGTCATTTATATATTACAAAATATTGAATGGAGTTTGCTACTTTTGAAGTAGAAAACCAATGCCTTTTATACTTGTGTTCCACTGACCTACTCTTCCAGTTTTTTTTTTTTTTTTAGAACATTGCAACTTTTTTAAGTTGCATTACTTAATGAAATCATTTTACTAAAACTTCTTATTTAGGAAGAAGTTTATGTGTTCATGTATTTATTTCTTTTACAAATTGTTATTGAGCACCTGTTAGGTGCTAGGCACTGTCGAAGGCAGTGGATATGTAAGTGGTGAGCAAAACAGATAAAGTTATTCCCTCAGAACTTTTGACTGGGAAGAAATAGATATAGACAAGTAAATAAATAAGATCATTTATGATTAGGCCTTGTTTAGTGTATTCTGATGAAGTTTCCTGGAGACGTTAATGTCTTTTTAAAGATGTTTTTCAGAGTTGAATGTTTTAATATTAGAACTTCTTTGCTTTTTTCTCCCTCGTTAACAAGAAGTCATAGAAGTTCCATTAATTTTAAAAATGAAACTTTTTTTTTTATCAGAAACTTGAAATTCAATATAGTTTATTTTTCAGGCTACCAGGTCAAAAGTAGTTTGTTTCTCTTTCCTTTCTTAGCAAGAATTAAACACTTTCTGAAGATTAGTTTGGTGGAAAGCTAGAAGTTTGTTAGCTTCTAGGATAGTTAATTGTCATTATTTCAGAGGAAGGTAAGTGCTGTGTGGGAAGATATTTCCAGTACTAGGAGGAAGATATTATGATAGTTTTTAAAAGAGGATGCCTTCAGATGGAGGGAAGAAGATGACATGATGTTTGAGAATTTCTTTTAATGGGCAATCATCAGAGGTCTATCCTCTTTTGAATTATGAATAGTGGGCGGGTCCCTGGATGAGAGCATTGTGTTCCTGAGGAGGCCTTCATAGGGTAGGTCAATTTGTAGTGAAGGGTGGTGGTATAAGCCTGTGAGTGTATGTACAGTATTTTCTGAGTTGTGTTTTAAGAATGTTGTTTACAGAAATTTTGAAACATTCAAAAGTAGATAGAATTGTGTAGGGAACCTGTTGTAAGCATCACACAACTCAACACATCAATACATCGACAATCTCTTTTCATCTCTGTTCTCCTTTCTCCACTGTTCCCTTCTCCAGCCTCCCAACTTCTTCCCTGCTCTCTATTATTTGTAAGTAAATCCCAGACATCATAAGCAGAAAGTTACTGTAAGGGGCTTGTTTTAAGGTAGAGAGACTGTTACAAAAGTAGGTATCTGATTCTGGGAAGTATGTTCTTGGAAGGTTGTAAAGACAGATGTTAACTTCTGAGGGTTTGGGTGTTTTGATTGGAGAGAGATGATGGCTTTTTTCCTAATGGTCATGTAAGCTGATCTTGGAAGGGATGATAGAGTATATGACAGGAAACTTTGATAAAATAATATATAAAGTTTTTTTAGTGTTGAATGTTTTCAAATGAAGGATGGTATTTTTTTTTTTTTTTTTTTTTTTTTTTTTTTTTTACAATGAAAGCTACACAGATCTGTATACTGAGTGGACATGTCCACGGATGACTAAGCTAGCCCTTGGATTATTTTGAATGGTGTCTTAGGATGTTGATGTGTCTCACAGTAGCAGTTTTCTGAAGGTGATTAGGTAACAAAATTTTGCTCTAGCTTTGAATCATGTGGAAATGGAAGCTGGTGTGTTATAGAAAGTTTTTCTGGAGCGTTTTTAAACGAGGAAAGGAGACTCTAGGGACAAGTTTCCATTTTCTCTCCATATCCCTCCCTTGTTCATTACTGTGTTGTTGTTTTTTTAATTTTCCCTATCTAGAATTCTTGCCACGTATACAGCCAAACTTTGCTGCTTTTTATTCTTTACAATTGTTCAGTTTCTGCCCTCTTTTTTATTATTATTTTTTATAAACAGTTGTCAGTTTCATACAAATAGTGAAAAGAGATCCATCTAACCCAAATAAATGTTATCATCAATCAGTCTGTTTACAAACTTCTGCTATTGCATCTTTAAAGGACTGAATTCTACTTCTCTTACTTAGATTTTGGAAACTGTTTTTCAGTTTTGGGTGTCAGAAGGCAATTGATTTGTACCTGATAATGATGGTGGTGGTAGTGGTGGTGATAGAACATTTATTGAACACTTACTATATCCCAGGCTCTGTTTTAACTAGTTTCTTGCATTAGCTCATTTAATCCTCATACAACCCTGTGATTTAGGTACTTTTATTATCCCCATTTTAGAGATGAGAAAAAGTTCAGAGAGTTTAATTTGCCTTAGTTGTATCTAATAAATGTCAGAAAAAGATTTCAGTGTAGTAAGTCCAGGTCTGGAGTTTTCATATTTTTAATCACTGTACAGGAAGTGCCAATGTCAGATGTTCTCAAAATGAGTTGTGGGTGTGTGCATGTTCTTAATTCATTTAAAATACCCCTAAAGTATCTCTTAAAATTATGGAAAAGTTGTGCTTAATAAAATGATTTGGTTCTTCTTCTTTTTTTTTTTTTTTAAGATTTTATTTATTCATGAGAGACAGAGAGAGAGAGGGGCAGAGGGAGAAGCAGGCTCCATGCAGGGAGCCTGATGCAGGACTTGATCCCGGGACTCCCAGATCACACCCTGGGCTGAAGGCAGGTGCTAAACCGCTGAGCCACCCAGGGATCCCAAATGATTTGGTTCTGAGACATTGTTCCTCCCATTTGTGTGCACTGAGCACAAGACTTAAAGCCTTAACCGGGAATCTAAGGCTGTGTCTATATACATAGCAGGAGGCATTAGCCTTCTTAGCAGAAAGCTAAATGCTGTCCAAGATCAGGCCCTGAATCAGTAGCAGCATGCATTATTGAAATCATCCTTTTTATTTTCCCACAGAGTGGATGATCCTGGATTAAGATGGTAATAGTTGAGCATAGAACATTATATTTAAAAAAAGCTAATTAAAGTGGTTGGTTTTTCTCTACTATAATCATTTCTTTATTTGGTATCTGATGGAAAAACTCAGTTTTCCTTTTCAGTTACTTTGTTTCATAGCATCATTATCTAATTTATTATATAATTATACTGTGCATCTAAGAACTTTGGAAAGCAGAGCTCGTATATGAAAATGAAAATTTTTATTTTTAAAGTGGAAATATTATTTTTACTTACTATAATTTTTTTTAACATGCACACTTGTAAAAGCCCAGGTTCTGAAGTACTAGTGAAGTATGAGGGAGAAAGTGAAAATCATTCCTATAAAGTCCACCCTGACGGAACCCTTGTTTTGTCGGTATCTACCAGACTACTTCTGTGTATATTAATGTCTGTACATACATACACATAAACGTTAAATTTCTTTCTGTGTATATTGAAATACATATTAATGTGAGATCATATTCTATAACTTGTTTTTGTTGCTTAATCCATTAGTGACATCCTCTGTTGTTGATACATGTAGATCTAGCTCATGCTTTCTAACAGCCATGAAGGATTCTGTTGTAGGGATATTTCGTAGTTTATTTAGTCTGGTTCCTATTGAGAGATTTTAAAGTTTTTTGAATTTTTTTCTCAATTATTTACAGTGCTGCAGAGTGGTGCAATGAACATTCTTGAATATCTGTCATCATGCACTTCATTAGTTCTTTCCTTAGACAGTGGTTTTTGAGTTTTGCTCTCATAATTGCCTCGAGAGCTGTACTAGATGGTCTACAGGGTTCTGGAATGGTTTATGAGATGTGACTAGGCCATCATTGTCCTCATTGTCCTGTAATTTTGATTAAATACAGTGGTTCCTCTTCAAGGGGAATAAAAAGGCAAACATGTTGAATATGTAGTAAATAATACCAAAATAGTAAATCTTTGCATTTGAAGCCTTAAGTAGCTTTCATTTAGCCTTGAATTGAGAATAGTTTTAGTTATTTTTTCTCTATTATTTCATTTTGCCTTACAAAGATGATGGTGAAGTATATACAAACAAGTGTGATTATCATTAACATGATTGTAGCAAACCGTTGTTTTACTTCAATAGTAAATGATTTAAATAACCCTTTTTTTGTGGGGATTGGGGTGGGTGTTTGTCTTCCATGTAGTTTATATCCTGGAACCTGGAGATGCTCCTTTGTTACAGCAACCACTACAGACATCCAAATCTGGTATTCAACAAATAATTGAGTGCTTTCGATCAGGTATGAATGTTTTAGGATATTTTTCAATCTTCACTTAGTAGTTAGAAACTACCTAGCAATCCTTAATTTTTTGAAAATTTAAAAATGTATACTTTGGTTTTATAGAATACTTTTAATTGTCATATTTTAAGAAAGTAGATGAATAAATATTGACTTGATCTAGATTCTTTTTTTAGTACTATATTTTATATATTAATACAGAGATAAGCTTAGTATGGTTTAAAGAAATATATATGGTATTTTATTGGTAATGTGCCTTTTCTTAACAATTTATTGTTATTTTTTGGCATATTCTTTGTAAATCCTCAAAGGGCAGTCGTAAATTATACTGGGTCTTTATAAGTATTGGCAGGGTAGATTATTTATTCAGAAAGTCTGAGATTGTTCTAGATTAATTACTTTATCATCTCTGTTTATGTGACTCACCTTCTTTCTCCTGCCTAACCCTGGAGTTTCAACATCTCTGATAGAGCACAAGACAGGAAAAATACTTACTCCAGCTCTGGTCTCTTTGGATACATTTGTTTAGCTTTTCTTTCTATATTAGATTATTATAATAATTACATATATAATAAATGGATTTGTGCAGTTGCAATCCAGTGCTTTAAAGTAGGTGTTGCTTACTGCATATACATGACTGAGAACTGTTAGAACTCCTGTGTTATCAGTGAGATTTTAGGTTTTTGTGATTCTTATGATCCACTTCACCTTTTGTTGATTTGGCTTCACTGACATTACAAACTATTGATTAGATATAAATAAGCAAATACACATAATGATGGGATAACTAAGTGATGGAAATTTAAAGGATTGGAGTATCTTTTATTCTAACACTCACTATTTTAATGAAAAATTTCTGAGATTTAGAGGGAAAGATAATTTATATATAACCACTTGTTTTGTATTGATAAATGCTTTGAGGTGCTTGTTTTTAAGTCATTGTAAAGAGAAATAGTATATATTTGCTTTATTTTAGGATCTAAGAAATAGATTACTCCTTAATCAAAAATAAAAATTTTTAAATTTCTGACTCAAATCTATTTCTTCTATTTTTTAATCTATAGTCCTCATGGCATTGCTTTTATATGTATATGTTTAAGTAGGTATCCAGTGTATATCCAAGCCTTGCTCATGTTGAATGGAGGTGCAGCCTATTTGGGTGTTTCTTGTTCTTTTTACTTTTTTTTGTTGTTGTTCTTTTACTTTTGTAGTTGCCCTTCATTAACAGAAGTAACTGATTAGTCAGATTTTCCTATGGTAAATATAATTAAAATTTTACTTATTAGGGGAAGTATTTATAATATATTTCTGGCATAACAAAAGAATGGTTAGTTTCTGGTCATAGTGAAAGTTTCTTTTAGCTACTTTTAGTAGAGATATAATTCTTTTTCTTTCTCATGGAAATGAAGGTAATAGCTTTTCACATTTAGTTGTGTTCTTTGCTCTAGGTTTCTTTTCTTCTTTCTTTCTCTCTTTTTTTTTTTAGTGAGGGAGAGGGGGGCCAGTGGGGCAGAGGGAGGGAAAGAGAGAATCTTAAACAGGCTCCACACCCAGCATGAAGGCGGATGTGGGGCTCGATCTCACAATCCTGAGATCGTGACCTGAGCTGAAAGAGTCAGACACTTAACTGATTAAGCCACCCAGGTACCCATATAGGTTTCTTTTTTAAAATCCAAAATTTAGAATTAATAAGATTATTTTATGCTACTATAATTTATTATTGTGTTTTTTGATTAAGAAGTTAGAATTGGTTCATTCATAAATGCTTTGTGTTAGAAAATATATCTTTTGAGAAGATCCTGTTCTCAAAATTTGTGTTTAGAAGTGAATATTTAGAAATGAAATTAATTATTTTCCTTTTGCACTGTGGTCATGTCTGTTTTCTGTATTTGCTATTTTTTTACAATTTAAACTAAAGAAAAGGGTCTGTGAAATGAGTGAAATGTTCTCTTTTAAATGTCCCAGCAAATTGGCCTTCTGAGTTCTGTTTTATTTGGGCAAATTCTGAAAATACTATAAATTTGATTATAAGTACCCAGTAATTTAAATTAGAAGTGATGTAGAAATATGCTTAACAGTATAAAGAAACTAATTTTGGACTTAGAAAAAAGAATTCATTTACTTTGTTAATGCGTTTCAGAAGTAAGCAATTTTAATTTCCTCATGATCATAATCTCCTGTGTATCTGTATAATCTAAAGTTTGCTAAGGTGTAGCTCTTTAGCACTGAAGTAGCCGAGCCCTGGCTGACTTGAAACTGGGAGAATAGCATGGAAGTTTGGGCCACTTGGGAATGAAGATCCATTCTCAATCCCTGAGTTCCTCGTGGTCCCATTCTACTCCCAACCACGTCTTCAGCCACTCATTTCTCTCTAGGCTCTATCCATTATAGCTGGGTCACACACGTTGCTTTTAAAGAACTATCTGAAGTCGAAGTCCATGCTTTTGCTCTTGTTAATGTATAGAGGCTGTCAGGTGGGGCATTAGTAATGTGTTAGGATATCTGGCTGAATCTTTAAGCTCAGTTGTCTTCAGCTACTGTATCATCTCTTAAGTGACTCACCTTCTCCTGTGTACACTGAACTGTATAGAACCTGGTATTCATTCCTGCCCAAGCTGGAAATTCATAAAAGGCTAAGGAAGGGGTTAACTCGTTTTTTAGGTCTATCGGCCCCACGTGTGCTGTACTGACTACATGATCAGTTTTGACTTGTTCGCTTTGCCTCACAGTTCAGTTTTTGCTTTAGACTATTTTTCTGGTTTTAAATTACAAATCTTTCTTGACCTCTGATATCTTTTTATTTCTGGCTGCTTCACTTGTAAATTTGAATAGATTTTTCTTTTTGGAATTAAGTAATATTCCTGTGTTAGAATAAATAATATTATTGGATTAAGTCATTGAAATGGTTTGAAAAAAAAAGAATAAAAGGACAGATAAAAATACAAAAATATCTCTTTGCTCAGGTAACCACTGCTACATTGTTTGTGTGTCTTCTTCTGGAGACCCTCTATACATTATACAAACATGTCTCCCTTGCTTTTTCTCCCAGTATATATGGTAGCTGACTCTACAGCTGTTACGTATTTTTGCTTTATTAACAGTACATTTCTTTGTTGTTTGACCTCTGTCCATAGATACGTCATTTTTTTTAGAAGGCTGCCTATTTTGCTTCAACCTACAGATTTTATACTCTGAAATCCCTGATGGTTGGATGACTTTGAGACATGCTGTTTGTTCTGAATCCCTGGCTTCTAGTGCTATCTTGACTGGGCTCTGCCTTTTGCTAGAGTGCTGCCTTAGTCCTTCTAGGTTCACCTCTGACTTGGTGTCTTTCAAATTTCCCTCCTTTCTATCAATACTTTTATTTTAGCTTCCTTTCTTCCTGACTTCTCTCCCCAAACTGAAACAGAAATTTAAGTAACAATAACAAAAAAGATGTACTTCCATGAGACATTTATTAAAATTGATTTAATTGAGCTTAATATTCTTTCTTAGTCTCTTAGTCTTCTAGTAGAGGCAAAGGAGCTATTGAATTCCCTAAGGTTAGAAACAGAAAAATAGGGAGTAAAGGATAATTATTTAGTCTGGTATTCAAAACTAGTCTTTCATATGAAGTTGACCATTTTTTTGAATCCTTTAAGTATATAATATTGTAAAAAATATATATATCATAGAAAAAAGATTCTGTAGAATATATTACTACTGTGTACAAGGAAGGGCATCTTTTCTGAATCGTAGGGAGGAGTAAATTGTAGTGAAAAATGAGAATTAGCTTTGTGTGGTATTTGCTATTGTCCTTATCATCTTAGGTTTGGTCATTTAACCTAAAAGTTTTTGTTTCATTTTGGTTTTGTACTGTGTAAAGCAACATTACCTGCATTTAGTTTATAAGCTGTGACTGGATGGCAATGCCTCAGTCCTGAGTCTGCAAACAATAACTTGGGATGGAAGTGTGATTTGTCAGAGATACATAAAAGAGTGCCATATGATATAAATTTTGTTTTCGGTTGTTATATAACAATTGCAGGAAATTTAAGATCATATTAGATATATTTTGGATGAATAAGACAGGTGTAGATTTATTTGTTTGATTTGTTCTTACATCCTTCAAAGCATGCAATCTGAGGCTGTGTTCCTAGAAGAGCAGACATTTATATATATATATATAATATATACATAATATTAATATTTAAAATATATATATTAAAGATTTTATTTATTTGTTCATGAGAGACAGCAGAGAGAGAGAGAGAGGGAGAGGCAGAGACACAGGCAGAGGGAGAAGCAGGCTCCATGAAGGAAGCCCGAAGTGGGCCTCAATCCCGGGTCTCCAGGATCATGCCCTGGGCTGAAAGTGACGCTAAACAACTGAGCCACCTGGGCTGCCCACAGACATTTATATTAGTCTGAGAGTTTCTTAAGGGCACAGATCAGATCCTTCACTTTGATGTTTCCAGTGATTAGCATTGTAGCCTCATACTTAAGAGGTGTTCAGTAAATGTAAGACTAAACTAAAAGAGGGATCCCTGGGTGGCGCAGCGGTTTGGCGCCTGCCTTTGGCCCAGGGCGCGATCCTGGAGATCCGGGATTGAATCCCACGTCAGGCTCCCGGTGCATGGAGCCTGCTTCTCCCTCTGCCTATGTCTGTGCCTCCCTCTCTGTCTCTCTGTGTGACTATCATAAATAAATTAAAAAAAAATAAAAAAAAAGACTAAACTAAAAGATTAACCAAGTAGGCACTATAATAATTTTATTCTGCTTAATAACCTTATTGTAGTATGTGGCAATGTTCCATACTTAACCTAGTAATTTTTTTTGTTAAACCAACTCTTGCAGGTGGTGGTTTTAATTTTTTTTTTTAGGTGGTGGTTTTAAGATGATAATTTTTCTTAAGTTTTCCCTACTTTATACCTTTAGGAACTTTTGATAAGGAATGATCAATCAATTAAAAATTTTCTTCATATACTGACCTTGGAAATTAGTTTTGACAGGAATTACAGATTTGCTTGCAATGTTGAGATGATGCTATGCTTAAATAATTAAACTAAAAAAGATTAAGCTTCACATGTGAATCATCATAAAGCAAGCAGTTATTACTGTTTAAAAATCATTACCGCTACAACTTAGAATGGTCATTGACCAACATATCTATATATTAAGGGGAAAAAAAGAAAGCTTATCTTTGGCACAGAAGAGTTAGAATTAATATCACATTAGATAAAGTGACTGCTATCCACCATAATGTAAAACTGAATATTCGTTCCTTTTGGAAAAAAAATCTTGTAAACATTTTTCTCAGTATATACAGTGTATTTGATATTAAGGAATAGCACATGACAAAACTCTTGATGAGGTTTAAGTAATTTTCACTGTGCACCTATTAGGAGAATCTGAAATATTCACTAATTTAGTTGATTTTTAGGCATCACTTATTACCCTTTGGAAGGCTGGGTTTTTCATTTGGAAAGATACTGATTAATGATCTATATAATCGGTAAATAGTGACTCTTAAGATAGTTTTAAAACCTAGGGCAAGAAAAAGTTATTAATATAGGAAAAGGAATAATTAGGAGTAAGATAGTCTCTTTCAGTATCAAGAGTAGTGGAAGAACTTTATGTTGCTGTCTAGATTGACTATGTCTGTTTTCTCAGGTGACAAAGTTTTAGCTGTTGACAGAGGCAGTTGATTGGCCATATCTAGTTGTTACTGAGCAAAGCAGTCACAAAATGGTAGCTGATGAGACCATTATGACCAAAGCAATTATGACCACATGTGAAAAACAACAAAACCTTAAAATGCAACTAAAACTGACTTAGGGAAAAACTTATGTATTTATGGAATGGGCAACATCTTTTTTTTTTCTCATTCATAAGATGTGTAAGTTGAATTAGAAAATCTTTGAGGTCTCTTTTTTGACTTTCTAGTCAACTTTATTTAGACTAAAAAAAAAATCTGATTTATAGAGAGGGTTTCTTTAAACATAGAGCTCTTCAATATGTCATTTAACAAACGTCAATCAGGCATCATCTTGAGGGCATCATCTTTTAATGCTTGGGTGAGCATTAAAGGTGTTTTTGTCCTTTTAGAGCTTCCAGTTTAATGAGAATACAGAAAATTAATTCCAAGACAGTGGGATATTAGTACCGATGTATAGGGTGCTGTGAGAGTTGGGGAGAAAAATTTGTAACAAAAACCAGGAATCAGTAAGGCTTCCTGGAAGAAGTGACATCTAACCTGGAGTTTGAATCATTACTAGAAGTGAGCCAGACGAGGGAAGTAGGAGATTGTTATAGGTAGGGAGAAAAAAAACATAGTTTAGTAAAGGCCTGAAAAGTGAGAGAGAGAGAGACAATTTGGTGAACCCGTGGCTTTGATAGAAATTTGATGTACCAGCATCAACACAATTGTGCCTTGTATGTGTGAGTAGGTGGAGTCCAATGGGGGAGGGATTTGTGAATGATAATTAAGATTGATTAGTTAAGGTTAGAGTTAGAGTTTTTTTTTTAGGGGGATGCTTTTGGAAACAAATATACACTCTCCTGAATATAACTAGCTGTATAGCTAGGACTAAACAAGATTACCTCTTTCTATATAGATTTTTTAAATTTTTAAATTAATTCGTTTTTATGGTTGAGAGAACTTGGTAGACAAAGTGAGATCTCTGATTTAGGGATGCAGTCTTATATTTTTACCAGTAACTATTTTTTATGCATAACTTCATACTCTCTATTTAAATCTTCAGTTGAGTTCTTAAGTTAAACCTAGTTCAGCTTGTTCCTCTTCAATCTTTTTTACTGTCTTTACAGGCAGAATTGAATCTTTAGTATTAGTCTAGCAGGTATTTCAATTTAGAATAGAGTGTGCAAAATTTCCTGTTTTCTTCTTACTAGTACTACACTTAACGATACTTTTTAGGATATGTTAGGTTTATCTAAAATATTTTTATCATCAGTCTACCTTCTTTCATGGTTTGCCCACTTTGGAGGTTAATTATGAAGTAAATATGTTAGCAGTCTGTTGGCAGTATATTTTGCGATGTGAAATGGACTAAAAAAGTGTGTGTGTGTATGAATTTACTTTTATATAAAGAAGAGTACTCAAGCTGTCCTCTGAATCTTTTTAAATTTATGTTTTCTGATTTTGTGGTAATACGGTTTAGTGCAGTAAACATTGATTTGTATTTGAGAAATGGTGGAAATGATTTCATTATATTTATTTTTTTCCCAGTGGAAACCCAGATGTGTAATTTAATTTTTTCTGGGATTTAGGTTCATATCTTCTTTCATGATTCTCTAAGATAGATTTGCTCTGGTTTGTTCATTTTACAAGATGGATAGTATAGTGAGTTTACTCTTTAGTAGCCCCAGAGGTTAACAGAGTGTCAGGTACTTGTGGAATGATGGAACACTGCACCTAGATAGTTTTTTTTCAGGACACTTTTGTTTTTCCTCTTTAAGTCAATATTATTACCATCGTTTTTGAGGAAATTAAAGGCTAATTAATTAGTAAAGCATGGCAGATCAATTTTACCAACTCATCTGTGGCAAAAACCTATAGGAAATAATGACAAAAAATCTTCTATTTGTGTTTTATTCCTGATAGATGTTTTTATTTTAAAGATTGGATGCTCATTGCTATTTATTTTTTTCCTGCCTTTTGATCTTCTGTCATAATGCTTAGATTGCCTCTATCAGTGGCGTTTCTTCAACTAGTCTTTATTGAGTATCGCTAGAATTGAATATTTTGTAGTTGTAATAAGACAGGTTTGGTCTTGGCTGTTTTGGAGTTTATGATTTAGTGGGAAAGACAGGCTTTAAATTGAACTAAACCATCAATATTTAATTAATTGCACTTGGAGTGTGTTTTTGAGTGAGAAAGGCTTTGAATAAATTTACAGTGGTATCAAGAGGCCTAAGCAAAATTCAGATTATGGATAAAGATTACTCTCAGACTCAATGGCCATAATCCCATTTTGGCTCCAAACCTAAAATAGTTTGAGCTGAGTTTAAAAAGCAAAGTCACAGACAATCTTTCTTTAAGGAATCAGGGGAAAATGTATTATAGAACTCCATGTTCACATCTTAATGCAGAAGGGAGCTAAAGGAACCAGCCAGAAACTTTGGCAAAGAGTGGGGGGGGGGGGCATGTTTAATTCTTCTTTCTCATTCCAGATCTGTTGAATCAGAATCTCTAGGGGTGGGTCATGTACATCTTTATTGCCTGGTTGTTGTGATGATTAGCCAGATGTTGGAACCACTATTGGGATATCCTAAGAATTGATTGGCTGCTGAATTAGAAAAAGAATATCAATTTTAGCTGTCACAATATCCAGATGATGATAGAATCTTACTTAGAATTTGTTTATAACTTAGTTCTGAATACACTGTGGTGGAAATTGGCAATGCCTGTATTTTGTTTTCAAAGAGTAATTGCACTTTGGATCGTCAACAGTGGTTGCCCAGTTTAAAAATGCATATTAAAGTTACCTTTTGTGTTAAGTTTTATTTTCTTTTTTCCTTCAGGAACTAAACAGCTTAAGCACATTTTATTAAAAGACGTGGACACTATTTTTGAATGTAAATTATGCCGCAGTCTCTTCAGAGGATTACCAAATTTGATTACACATAAAAAATTCTACTGCCCACCAAGTCTCCAGATGGATGACAGTAAGTTTTATTCATATACTCAGTTATGCATTTTACAATAAAGTATTCTTATACTCTAGCTGTATGTTTGTGTTAAAATGGTATCAATAATTTAATAATGGGAATAAAATTATAATACTCGACTTAATATTATATATTCATTTTCTTAGGTACTTTTATGATAGTACTTTTTACTTGGGTTTTTCTAAAGATACATAAGGTTAGGTTTAGAAATATATTTATGTTAAAATGTTGGATATTGCTTTTGAATGTTTATATGGACATAAAACATTAGGTTTCCCGGATAGTTTATATTCAGGATTTTTCTAAGTTAAAATCTCGGTGCTTAAAGGGGGTATTGGTATTTTTCATTTTTGCTTCTTTAACAGCTTGATACATATGCCTGATAATTTACTAAGATTACCCTTAAGTAAATTAGAAGGTTGAAACTAGAGAAAGAATAAATGAGTTGATTTCTTACGGATGGTGAAGAGCATTAAAAAATATTAATCTACTTTTTTCCGGGTCTGGATTTGAAGATCCATTTTATTCTCTGTGAAATTTATTTATAGATCAATCATTTTATCAGAAATTAGATGGTATTATAGACCAACTTGAGATCTGAGATCTGAAGTAGCTAATTTGATGAAGGCAGGTTGTAGGCTAATTCGGTCTTTGTGGAACTGAATGTTTGTTTGATTAAGTGTATTGCCCCTGTATGATTAAGTTAGTAGTATATATAATGGTATTACTTTCTTGCTTTAAGGAAATGATATAAATTCCTTAAAATATTTTAGTTAGTAATAGGTTACTTTCATTATTTATTGTTCAGGGGTTTAACTCTTTGTGGACTTGCAGCTTATAGAATTTATTTCGTCAGTTTGATACTGTAGTTGCATGGTGGAGTTTGTGCACTTTTCAATTTAACTTTTTTGGGATGGGAATGAAATGAAAACTCCAAATATCAAAAGTACAACTTAATTACTAGCATGCAGCTGATTTAAAGTATATTATAGGATATATATTATATAGTTAAAATAAAAATTTCATATTTGGGAATTTTTCCTGCTACTGTTAGATCTTGGTATACTTGTTTTTATCATTGAGATATAAGTGAAAAGGCTGTCTGTAGTGATTAATTTCAAATTTGACCTTTTAATAATTAAAGTACCTGTAGAAAATTAGTTATATTCCTGATATTCTTTTTTTCAGTGTAGAATTGACTTTTAGAAATATAAATAAATGGATTTGTTGACTTACTGTGCACTTTTCTGGCAATACTCATTCTAGAAATGCTCCTGTGAAAGTGTTATCCCTCTTACAGACACTACTTTATCCCTTTTAAGTGGAAAGATTACTAGAAGAGCAATAATGAATCATTTCTTGTATTCTAAATAGATAACAGGTTTGATGCTGTATTTGTAGCTAGATTTTACAATTGAATATGGAAACATAACTAGCGTTTGATAACTGTTAAAGTAAGAATACTTGGTTGCCTTAACAGGATGTAATTATTGCACAATTAAATAAAACTAGCTCTGTTTTTGGCATAAATCTATAGGTTTTAATCACTTACTTGAATGGGATTGTGTCATGTTAAGAAGAACAGTAATAGGACTGCATTTAGCAAATATGTCTTTACGTGTCATTCATATTTATATCCTACAAATCTTTCTTTTTCGTTTCTGTAAAATCTTTTAAGTGTCCCTCTATACAGGTAGACTGCATTATTATGGATTATGTTAATAGGAATGCTGTTATGTTTTCTAAAAAAAGAAGCATTTTTATATATAATAGTACATTCTTTGTTGTTTTATCTGTATTGGGTTATGAGAACTTTGATTTGCCTTTGCTAGCTTGAAAAGTTTAGACTAAAGATTTGAAGTACTGTTGTAATTATTTAGTACTCTCATGTGCTTATATATTTTGTATTTAAGGACACTTAGGAGTAGAAGTAGCTCTTCAGATTGCATTTATTCCTTAACATTTGTGTACCATCATGAGATTTTAAATCAATTTTAGTTCAATTCTAGTTTTAAAATATGGAAAAGTAGATAATGTTCTTATAAAAAGAAATACAAACCAGTAATATAATAAATTTTAAGATAGAGGTTTATAATAGATTTTTAAATATTACAGAGCTAGAGCAGGCTAATTATTTCAGATTAAAATGTTGTTTTTTCCTTAACAGACCTTCCTGATGTAAATGATAAACAAAGCCAAGCCATAAACGATCTCCTAGAAGCCATATATCCAAGTGTGGACAAACGAGAATATATTATTAAGCTAGAACCCATAGAAACTAATCAAAATGCAGTGTTTCAGTATATTTCAAGGACTGATAATCCTACTGAAGTCACAGAGTCAAGCAGTACTCCTGAACAAACCGAAGTTCAAATACAGGAAACTAGCACTGAACAGTCTAAAACAGTACCAGTTACAGATACAGAGGTGGAAACTGTAGAGCCCCCTCCTGTTGAGATTGTTGCAGATGAAGTTGCACCTCCATCTGATGAGCAACCTCAGGAATCACAGGCTGACTTGGAAACTTCTGACAATTCTGATTTTGGTCACCAGTTGATATGTTGTCTTTGTAGAAAAGAATTCAATTCCAGACGAGGTGTTCGTCGTCATATTCGAAAAGTACATAAGAAAAAGATGGAAGAACTAAAAAAGTACATTGAAACGCGAAAGAATCCAAACCAGTCCTCCAAAGGACGCAGTAAGAATGTTCTAGTTCCAATAAGTAGGAGTTGTCCAGTATGTTGTAAATCATTTGCTACAAAAGCGAATGTAAGGAGGCATTTTGATGAAGTTCATAGAGGACTAAGGAGGGATTCAATTACTCCTGATATAGCAACAAAGCCTGGGCAACCTTTGTTCCTGGATTCTGTTTCTCCTAAAAAATCTTTTAAGACTCGAAAACAAAAGTCGTCTTCAAAGGCTGAATACAATTTAACTGCATGCAAATGCCTCCTTTGCAAGAGGAAATATAGTTCACAAATAATGCTTAAAAGACATATGCAAATTGTCCACAAGATAACTCTTTCTGGAACAAACTCTAAAAGAGAGAAAGGCCCTAATAATACTGCCAGCAGTTCAGAAATAAAAGTTAAAGTTGAACCAGCAGATTCTGTAGAATCTTCACCCCCTTCCATTACCCATTCTCCACAGAATGAATTAAAGGGAACAAATCATTCAAATGAAAAAAAGAACACACCGGCAGCACAGAAAAATAAAGTTAAACAAGACTCGGAAAGCCCTAAATCAACTAGTCCGTCTGCTGCAGGTGGCCAGCAAAAAACCAGGAAACCAAAACTTTCAGCTGGCTTTGACTTTAAGCAACTTTACTGTAAACTTTGTAAACGTCAGTTTACTTCCAAACAGAACTTGACTAAACACATTGAGTTGCACACAGATGGGAATAACATTTATGTTAAATTCTACAAGTGTCCTCTTTGCACTTATGAAACTCGTCGGAAGCGCGATGTGATACGACATATAACTGTGGTTCATAAAAAGTCATCCCGCTATCTTGGGAAAATAACAGCCAGTTTAGAGATCAGAGCTATAAAGAAGCCCATTGATTTTGTTCTAAATAAAGTGGCAAAAAGAGGCCCTTCGAGGGATGAGGCAAAACATAGTGATTCAAAACATGATGGCACTTCTAACTCTCCTAGTAAAAAGTATGAAGTAGCTGACGTTGGTATTGAAGTAAAAGTCACAAAAAACTTTTCTCTTCACAGATGCAATAAATGTGGAAAGGCATTTGCCAAAAAGACTTATCTTGAACATCATAAGAAAACTCATAAGGCAAATGCTTCCAATTCACCTGAAGGAAACAAAACCAAAGGCCGAAGTACAAGATCTAAGGCTCTTGTCTGGTGAGGAACAGTTACAGAGTTTTGCTTTTTTCCCCCCATCGAACTAAAAAAATCATTTGACCATAATTTATAGCCAGTTCCATTTTAACACGTTTGCTTCCATATATCTTATGGCAATGGGAACTGCAAGAGTAATGTGCATATTGCCTTTACCTCTTCAGTGACCTTTATTCCAGTGGCTTGGGAACAAAAGTTAACTTCAGAACTTATCTTCCACAGGACAATGCAATATAGTTATAGGTAGATGGCACAGGGTCAGTGCTTTCCTCAATGTTGTAAAATACATACATTTATATTGGCTTATGTTTACAATAGAAGTCTTCTGTTTAACTAACTTTGCACAGGTTTAATTTGATTTAGTGACTTAGTCTACTAATTAATACATTGTAGGAAAAGTTAAATACATTAGAATGAATTTGTGAAGGCGATAATTATAGGAAAAAAGTCTTTTGAGGCACTGTAATTATTGTAAAAATTAATCTGTGACGGCTAAATAAAGTGCTGCACTCAGAAAAAAAAATCCCCAAATTGAATTTAGAACAATTAGCATTTGTTATTTACATTTAACATAGTGCTTCCAGTCAAAGGAGGAAACTTGATAGAAGTTTGGATTTTTTTTTTTCTCTTCTCCTTGGGAGTATGTATTAGTTACTGCTTTTAGTTTTGATATGTGGAAAAAGTGATTATTTAGATTCCAAATCTTATTTTTCCCTTTTTGTTTTAAATAGACTTTTTGTGATCATTTCAGCATAGTTAATATTAACTAAGGATTTTTTTTTTTTCTTTGTGTGGTTGTGCGTTATAAGAAAAGGAAAATCCCTATTGGGAAGAAAGAAAAAAATTTACTTTTTTAGAAGGTTTTGGGATAAATGTAGATTTTTAAAATGCAATATAAAAATGAGTAGACTCCCTATACTTGTTTTTGCAAGTCTCTCTATATTTTTAAAAGTTTACCTTCAGTATGTTTCCCTATATTAAGGCATTTAATATATTTAATTAGCATTGAATTAGTTTTGGAATCAGGTTCTAAAACAGTATACTGAGTTTGAATGTGGAGTAGGTTAAATGTTGTGGTTTGAGTATCACACATTTTTTTTATTTGTGGAAACTTGAGATGAAACCATCCTTTAGAAGTCATTTACTATTGTATAATTTTAAAAACAAGGTTTTATTGGTAAACTCAAAAGTGTTCATTTATTCCCATTTCTCCTCAGATAACTTCAAGTGATGTACGAAAAGGTTTGGAGTTCATTTTTGTGGAAAGACTTTAAATTGGTGTTAGAACCACTAAACGTCTTCAAATGGTACTATGAGAAAAAAAAAAGGAAAAACATTTTCATAAATATTCGACTGTAACTACTGTTTTCTGACTAAAATAATAACCATCTAACCACTTGTTTCTAAGGCACTGCCTCTCCCAGCACTTTCAAGTAGCTGTGACATTACATATTGTCATCACAGTCTATCAGCTAACCACCCTTGACCTTGTGCATTTGGTCTGCAGTTTCTACAAAAACATTGCAAATTTTGTTTTCCAAACTATTTGTTGATTAAAGTGATCAACATAATAAAATGCTTCTATAGCTAAAACAACCTGAAGAATATATATCACCATTGGTGATTTTTATTGACAAAAAGACTATATCTTAGTGATTTTAGTTTTGTTTCACTTTATTTGGCAAAATTTTCATCTGGGTTGTACAGATATATTTCCTAGTGAGTATATGTTAGGACCAAAAGAAATTAGTATCAACATATTATAAATATTTAGCCTACTAAATATTTGTAATTATTTTTACATTCATTTTTTTTTCTAACTTGTTCTCCAGCACTTAAATGTTTGAGTTTCATTCTAAAATAATATACTACAGGAACGTTCCAGTTCATTTTCATCCATGGATCATTACATTTTTTATTTGTAAACATCTGAAGTTTTTATGAAAATGAAACATTCCCCCTTTTTTTCTTTAAATTTTATACAAAGCACTTTAATAATAGATGCAACTTAATTTTTCAGTTTCTTTTTTTTTTTTTAAGACCACACATTTACTAATGTTAGTATGAAGGTAGTAAATAGGTTACTGATATTTTATGGATGCAGACAATCCATGCACAACCACTTCTTATGATATTAGTTTATATCTTTAAATATTGCTAAAAAAGGAAGATGGGAGTGTAAACCCTGAATTTTTTTTCTCCCAGGTAAAATCTTAAAAGACTACTTTAGATGATTTTTGATTCCTACTGTAAAATTTGGAAAATAATGAATTCTTGTCCATTTTTTTATAATCAAGATTTTAGGAAAAACAAGTACATCTATCTTTATGAAATATTGGGCAGGTTTTTGTGTATCAATATTTTGTACTTTTTAGGGAATATTTTATTTTTTAGTAATTTTTGTCAAATTATAATTTTAAAAGGTACAGCAGAGAATTTACCATGTTTTTATAGAGGTTCACACCTGTACTTAGGAGGGACCCTGTCCATCTATATACTTTTGTATAAAATTTTAAAATGTTGAAGATCCACAAGGTCATAATAAAATGCTTCTATAGCTAGAAAAACATTTACCCTTCCCAGTGCTTTGCACTAAAATATACTGTGAAAGGAAACTAGAAAGACTGTAACTGTTGCTGGAAATGTTCTATATTGAATGTACATGCTCTTGTTGGAAAAATGTACTATATGTGATGGAAATAAACCAGACTCAAAGTTATTTCAGCTAAATGTGCTTCAACAAAGGTGCATTGGTTGAAACTTAAATGTTTTATCAAATTTAAGTTTATTCAGTGACTATGAGCAGCTACACTTGAATTATATACCCTGATAGTTTTATTTTTAAGAATTAGAGTGATAATTTCTCTTTAATTTAAAAACAGATTTACTTTTCCACATGTGGAAAACTTGTACTTATAGATCTAACTTTAATGATTAATAGCATAATATATTTAGGGAACTAAATGTGTAGGTGGTATTTCATTTATAAACCATCGTCATTAGTTGCACATTATTAAATCTGTATGTTTGACTTTTGCAAGGTGTTCTCTTTTATGCATTCTTACACACAAGACATATTCCAAAGATACTTTCCAGACTTAAGTATCTACAACCAGTGAAAAGATATGAGTATTCCTAAAAAGCTGGGGGTGGCTCTTTGCTACAGCCTCTCATCTGTATGTCAGCCTCTTGCTCTCTACTTTACTTTTTAAATACTATAGGGAAGAAAGAAAAATAGCCTGATGTTGGTGGAGGGGAGCCCAATTGTTGGAATTCCTTTACTGCAGCTCACCTATTTCTACAGGACTATTCCCAGTTTGTTTCCTCCATTAGCTCTAGGGCCACAGAGTAGAAATTTAGAAGGAGGAATTAAGGATTCCAAGGACTGCCAAAATAATACACATCTGGATCATAGAGGAAAAAATAGCACTATGTCAGGATATGTCTGTCTAAATTAGAATTGCCTAGAGAGTGTTGGAATGTTTTATCATAGTAGACAAATTAATAGTTTATGGCAGATAGGAGTTGGAGGCTAAACTGGGACAAGTTTAGAAAGGTAGAATGAACAAGTAAGTTATTTGAAATTCTTTGTTCTTCGTATTTCTTTCTGGTCTTCATCCTTAGTTTTTGGTTTTATATTGACTCATGTGTTGTGTCTTCTCAGAGGGCTCAGGCTTGAGGCTCTTATGAGAAGAGTCCTAGGAAATTTATGCCAGAAGCTTTTCTGCATGCAGGCTGTATAAGCAAATATTTGTTGTGGGGATAAGTAATTAAGTAGGTTAAGAGCCATCAGAAACTGCTTATTTGATATTAAAACCTATCTCTGGCTACAGATTTTATCTGTTGCTGTTGTTTCATCAATTAAGAGTTTTCCTGTAGAATTCAACTCTTGTTTCCTGAGGTACCTTCCACAGCTAAGTGCAGTGGAAGAGGAGAAACAGTAAAAAGTATGGCTTGCATTTCAATTTCATAAGTTTGGATAGTGCAAGTGAGAGCTGAATGTGAGGTATGGCTGACACTGGGCATGTGTTCATTAGAACATACAGATAGACCTTGTATGCATAATACCCATTTTTGCTGTTGTTTGTTCATGTTTCTGTTTTACCCACTCTTTCCTCCTGACTTTAGTAGGAAGAAAAGCTTCTTTTTGAAATACACACGCGCGCGCACACACACACACACACACATTCTTGCAGAATATGTAAATTACTACCCATCCTTGATTTTTGGCCTACTTTTATGAATATGAGCTAAGTTTTTGGTTGACGCAGATTGCTTGTATTATTGAAAAGTACCTTTTTTTTTAAGGAATGTGTATTTGTAATATTGCTTTATGATCTATAGGCTGTTCTACTCGGTTTGCTTTAAAGAGCCCATGGATGCAGTAGAAGGAATTTTGTGGTATTGCTATGGTTTTAGACTGTGGGTATGGACAGAGGAGTTTCTCCATAGGTGTTCTATGAAGAAGGTATGGAGATAGAGGGAGGCATGAGTGGTATCATTTCCTGTTGTGAAGTTGCGAAGGATCTTTCAAATAGCATGACCACTAGAAAAGAAGTGCTTTTTAAACTTTAGAATTAGGTTTCCAGGTCTCCTGGAAATATTCTAGATCCTTACTTAGGAGTTTTAGAAGTTACCTTTATAATGGAATCCAAGGATTCCCAGGATTATTATTTAGCTCTCATTAGTTGATCAGAAGCTGAGCTCTAAGATACGTGCAGCATGATGTTGGCTGTTTTCTTCTGTACCCTGTGCTTTTCTTTCCTCCTCCTCTGACTTTTAAAAGCTAACAGAAACCTCAGGCTTGGAAAAGAGTAAGGATCAGCAATCTTAAGATTGGCTATTACTTGTTTGGTTTCTAAGACATTAGGTGCATGATAGAATGCTGAATAAAACATTTTTCACTTAAACGCACCTGCATTTATTTTGGCTTTTCTAACTTTCAAATTCATTCCTCCTCTCTTTTAGAATTGGTTTCTCTTCTGGTTAATTAACAGAGATCA